CACGAAAAAGAGAGAAAAAAAAAAAAAAAGAAAAAAGAAAAAAAAAAAGAAAGGAAAAAGCGCGCACTTGTCTCGCGCGAGCTTATCGCCTCGTCTCGTATAGAGAGGTGCGGCGCTCTCGATATCGTCGTCGGAACCGTCGATCATAGAAGGAAGCAATCCCCCCGTGAAAAATTCCTGCGAAATGGTGTAAAATCCCGTTAAAACGATTTTCGGTCGATCAGGTATTTAAAAGAGGAGGAAAAGTACGACGGGTGCATCGATCGATGCAAGTCCATCGAGGCAAGTAAATAATAGCGACGAGACCCGGTGTCGGTCGATCGATCGATCGATCATCGAGCCAACTTCTTTTGGGAAGCAAAAGGTTTTCCATGAAAATTTAATTTAAATGGATCGAAATTTCTCTCTTAAGGATACATATATATATATACTCTTATTCTCCGTATAAAATTTATTGGACCTCTTTTGCTCAAAAATTCCGATAAATTGAGATCCGAGATTCGAATTACCGAGATTCTACAAGATTGTATTAAGAAAATCCTCCTCAGGAAGGAAAGGGAAGAGAAATTTTGAATTTTTATGAATGAATGGAAGCTTTCATAGCGATCAAGAGCAGAGAAGAAAGAAACGTCACGGAGTGGAGAAAAAAATTTTCATTGGCCTCGGTTGATCGAAATCACGAGATAAATTTGCACGCGCCCTCTACCCTGATGGAACTCGGTTCTCGAGAAGCGTCGCCGCATTTAACTCGAGTTCTGCCAATTGTTCGTCTCGTGACTACTGATTCTCGTAATCGATCAGCTTCCGTGAACCCAAGAGACACGTGCTCTCTCTCTCTCTCTCACTCTCCTCTCCCCTACCCTTTGTAAGTAAGTAGTTTCTTCTGTCGGCGAATTAATCGTCGCTAGTCGACACGCTCGATAACGAACCCGTCTGAATTGAGATCGTTAAGTCCGTTTGACCATGCTTCTCGCGGAAACGGCAGGAAAAAAAATCTCTTCAATTGAAGAATCTCATTGCTCGGTCCACTTTTTGCGAAAGCTTGACTCATCGTCGTCTCTTACGATGCTAATTCTAATTTTTAACTAAAAGAAAAAAATTATATGTGTGTGTTTTATATGTACGATTTTTATCCTATTGTTTTGAGAGAAAATTTATAAATTAAAGTAAAATAATATGGTAAAATTATTCCCTTTATTCATAATTGTATTATAATATTAATCCTTTACAATTATTTTAAAAATATTTAAATAAAATTACATTTACTTGAACGATATTATCGATTTTTAAAATTTTTCAATTACAATTTCAGAAACCATATGATCACGCTTCAACATCGTTCCCCCATGACCTTTAATACCATTGATAACAATAATGGAATATTTTTTAATTAATTCGATAATAATTCTATTATACTATGCTCGTATGTACGTCAATGATATCCAAAAAGAGAAAAAAATCTAGGAATAAACAACGGCCGGGCAAAGAAAATTCTTCTTGTCTGTGATTTATCGTCGCTGATAAATTAGTGTCTCGCAAGTTCTCGGATAATCAGGCATTACGAAATAAGCGATAATCGCGATGGACCAACTCTTACGTGCCTTTATTCACGAAAATCTTGTTAGAAACTTGTCATCGTCACTGTTCTCGGAATAACAGAAATTTATCTCGCCTTCTTGCCGTCATCTCTTGCCGCTTCCGCAAAAAAAGACGTCGATCCACCGACGTTCGTGGAAATTGACAGTGGAAAAATATCGTTCCCTCTTCGTTGCTCTTCTCTCTCTCTCTTTCTCTCTTTTTTTCTTTGCAAATCACAGTCTCCCCGTTTCGATGAAGAGGATTGAAACTTCTTTCGACTTTTCTGGCCGCTTCAAGTTTAATCCTCGAGACTTTTCTTGATTTAAGATGGAGATTAGAAATTTATTAAAATTAATCGTTAATTAATTCGATGTATCGATTACATGGTAATAATTTTAAATCAAGATTATATAAGATCGTTTCATTTACGATTTTAAAATTTGATTTCCAATTACTGATATTTAAATTTATTCCAGCAAAGATGCGAGACCAATCAAAAAATGAGGAAAAAATATAAAGCCAAATAAGTTATAAACAGTAAATTAAATAGTTAAATTTAATTTGAATTTAAACTTAGGTAATAGATTTGAAATTAATTTTATCCTGTCATTTTCATGAATCAACATCAAATGGAATAATTTCATTCATACCAATCCAGAGTTTGATTATTCGTCGAGTTGCAATCTCCAAATGTTTCGTTCCACGATTCCCGCCTGTCTTCTCGTCCAGTCTCAATGTACACTTAAAGTTTTACGCGAGCCATACCGCGCTCCTGAATCTTTAAACTTGATTTTCACGGGCGGAAAACAGGATTGGATATCCACTTTCAAGGAAACTCGTCTTGCACCGCCATTTTCCCTGAAAAGGATTAAGATACTTTTGATTTCGAACGTACTCTCAAAAGCAGTGGATTATTCAAAAAAAGTCAGAGAAATATAATCTATACGAATGAAGTCAGATTCTATTTTCGATATAATAAAAATATGCTGAAATTTGAATGCTAAATTTTAATTAAACCGATAAATGCCTCTTCGATTTCATTAGAAAGAAAAGAAATATTCAAAAATTATAGATTTTTGATCGTCGATTATATATATATAAGTTTTCTGTAAAAAAATTTTAAAAATAATTTTTTTAATTTTTGCACACGTCATTCATTACCTATATACAGTCATTTTAAATTTCGTTATTTTCCAATTCTTTTATTTTACATTGCCAAAGATTCTCTTCGATTTTTAAATTTTTCATTCTAATCAATACAAGATAGAAAATATCAGAAGCTAAATTGATTGCACCGTATGAGGAAGAATTTCATTTGGTTTCTTCGAACGTAAGAGCTTTTTACAAGGACAAAAGTTTCGGTCGAGATTCTACACAGAAGAAAGGCGTCGAAGGGCGGGAAAAGCATATAAAAGGAAAAGGCTAGAGCTGTTTCGAGAGTGCACGCCGCGATGAATTCTTCCCTATTGGCTAAAAACACCCGACGAATCTTTCGTTCGTCGTGTTTTCTTCGCGTTGTGTGTCCGCCATTGTTCCACGATACACATATTGAGTAACATGTGGCAACAACAAGGACTTCTGAAATAAAAATATAAAGGAAATTATGAAAGGAAGAACGTTTCTATGTCCCACGTGTCTCTCTATTTGATCGTTTATACGCGGTAATTAAGTATTATTCTTCCTTAAGAGAAAATATGCATAAATTTGTTTGTCATGAATAATTGGTAACATCTGTGATGTGATAAATATTAATTGAAGATCGGTTTTAACTTTGACTCATATGTAATTACATCTGCAACGATGTTGCAAAAATATATTTTTTCGAGAAAGAATCGTTTGACAAATTAAGTAATTAACATTGTAATTGGACTTCCTGTTTTCAAAAAATTGAAATTTACTTTTATGAATAAAAGAAGAACACCTAAAATGGTGTTTAATTTTAGTATTTAATATTTGTATAATCTATAGAGTAAAATATATTTTTCCAAAGCAGAAATTTATTTAATAAATTTTATATTGAAAATTAATTAGTAAAAAGAAAAAAAAAATATCGTTTTTAATATATGATATTTGAGAATGAATATATCAATTTTCATTCAAATTCATTCAAATATCACAAGTGCATTTCAAATGCATTTTTAAAAGTGCATATTTGTTTTTGATTCGTATCGTATAATTTTTTTAATTATATTTCAAGTTTTTTCTTTATCTTGAAAATTGTATAATATTGCAAATTTATATTTTTACTATAATTACTACTGCTTATTAATACTTTGAGCATTTATGAGTCACGTAGTCATGTGTTTTCATGTGAATGCATATCGCGTTAAGAGCAATACTTGATGACCTATTGATAGGTCACGCCTATCAATTTGACCTAATTTTTTTCAATTTTTGACAATGAATAACAAACATACCTTAACGCTTGATCAAAAGTGTAATAAATAGAGTATCTCTATCTAGAACGTTCTAGAAACTATACACTCACGTCTCCATCAATGGAAATCATGCGCCTTGAGGGACGCAATCGATAAAAACCTCGCAAAATTAATTACACAAATTTTTTTTTTTCCAACTATATAACCAAAAGAAAACTCAGAAGAATACTGTAAGCCTTCGTCAAGTTACTTTTAAATTTGTTTTAATTTGTTAATTTAAGTTAAGATAAAAGTTTCACGGATAACCTAAAACTCATTATTTCCACGACTAATTTCTTTTTATACTACTCTCTTAAAAAATTTTTAAAAACTCGTAAAAGATAAGTTTCCAGAAAATTACGCTTTTACAATTTTATCTTTCGTTTCATTTTTATTTACTTTTCGTATTTTCGTAAAAAAGTTTTAACAACTCGAAAGATAACTCGTGCAATTGAAATAAACTCAAAATAATAAATCAAATCGCAACATTATTATACACAGTCACAAGTGTTCATCGGCAAAGAGAAAAATCTCTCGAGAATGAAATTCTCCTTCGAGCATAACCTAGTACACAACCTAGCACAGAATTGAGGTTAGGAGCGAGGTATCGGGCTTTTTTCCACGGGAATTTCCACGAGTCGGATCTAGCGTCACGGATCTAAGTAGAAGGCAGTCGCCTGATGCTCGTATAGACCACGATTCCCTTGATATACCTACCTAGACGAGGACGAGGCGAACGAAATTGACTGCGGCGCCGTGTGTTTCACGGTGGCTGCTCCACTCGGCTTGGCCGCACAAGTAGCTCGTTCCCTTCCCTTGTGATTTCACGGGGACGCGTCGACGAGCAGCATCGCGGTTTCAAGGTGAACCGATTAAAGCCGAGGAGATCTTTTCATCTTTTAGAGTAGATTTTATTGGAGTAGGTATCATTGAAGATTTGTGAAGGATGAGGAGGGATAAGAGTTCGGAGGAGAGGAGAGAATGCTGGTTATTGGCTTCTCGTATTTTATTGTGATCTCATTCGAAGTGATCTAATCTAAAAAATTATGAACAGGGCGTTTCTCTTCGAAATAAATTGGAATTATATTACTTTTGATATCATTTTGATGTTATTTTCGAAATATATATATATATATATTGGGAATTAAATTTGGTGAAGAGGGAGGATATTGTTCCAATACAGTTATCTTTTTATAAATAAAATTATCTTCTCTACACGAAAAAAAGTAATCGAGGAGCTTATTGCATCTATATAATCTTGTGACAGCATGATTTTTTGGATTTTTCCAGGTCATTGCAAAAATATTTTTGAAAAATGCCGATTAAAATCTTAAAAATTCATCAAAAAAGGAAAATCGTCTTTCAATCGATAAATCAACGGGTTTGGCTAAGTTAAACGAACAATAAGAACAAAAAGAGGAAATCAAAAGTTTCGTAATGAAATGAAGTTGGATACCTCCGGGTTAAAATTTTAAAAAAATTGCAGAGTTCGATGAAAATCTATTATCGAGAAAATAATACATCAAAGAACAAAGAACTTAAATAAAGAATAAGAAGAAAAAGAAAAAAAAATGTAATTTTTTTAAAATCCTGAATTAAAAAAAAAAAAAAACTGCAGAGTTACTGACCTAAGTTAATAACAGGCATAAAATAATATTACTATTATACATGGTGTTCTTTGTTCGTTTATACGTAATTGGATGATGATTCGTCGATCGCTGGTGTGTATTAATTGTCAAGAGCGAATATGTTCCGATAGGCACGCAGAAAACAAGTGGATCATGTGTCACATGACACATGAGGCTGACGTATCAGCTGAACTGGAGCAGATGAATCCGGTTGCGTTATATGCACGCTTCTATCGTTATTTACATAATTCGTAACGTTTCGGCGAGATTCATAGAATACGCACGAGGGGGTGGATCAGAATCGATCTAGAATCCGCAGAAATCGAACGACACTTCCGATAACCCTGCACGATTCTTTTAAAACAACCGATACTCGACACGTTATTCGCGATAAAAAAAAAAAAGGAACGTAAAAATAAAATGATAGGAAAATGATAGTGAAAATAAATAAATAATCGAGAGATATAAATAAATATTTTTTTCGTCGTGGATAATATAATAGAAAATTATAACGAAAACATCGAATAAATTTAAAATTTCTCAAAATTCAGTATCGAAAAAATTAACAAAATAATTCGAGAGATTCAATTATCCGAAATTGCTGGCGAAAAAAAAAATTAATCAGAAAAGAAGATAACGATTCTTTCTCTCTCTTTTTCTCCGTCTTAAAAAATTCACGTGCCCTCTTCCAATCAACCACAAAAGGAAGCCCCCAAACCCCCACCGTATTCACCAATTCTAAATAATTTCCACAAACGATCCTCAGAGTCGATCGGGTTTTCAAAGACCGGCGAACAGTCAGCGGTGGACTCGATAAAGAAATTCGTACCGTCTCGTTCATTTCAAACGGAGAAACAACTCCGGTTAAAGAATACCCGACCCGCATACGAAATATTCCCGCGGGGTACGAAGCGGTCGACCGTTCGATTGCGACCCGGTGAAATGGGTTAAACGTGGCACGATAAATAGCCTCCAATTGATTTCGCATTGTAACCTCGCGGAAACGAGGATAGGACGCTCTCCCTGGTACGCAGCTATTTGGAGTGGAATATTTCCTAATTCCTATTTTTCGAAAATCAACCGAACGAGACAATGGAGAAGAGGAGTCGTGACCCGGTCGACGTTGTGTAACCCACACGACTCGAATTCAAATCGTTTTTCGAAGCATTGCGAAATATAGCATGTTCGATGGCGTTAACGAAGAAATTGTTCTCGTTTTCCTGTCGAGGAAGCTTTTTCTCCCTCTCCCTCCCCTAACGATCGATTGAGATTGAAATTCTTTTTAGGGGAATAAAAGTAACCATAACGTGAAGAAAGGATGGAAAAATCTCTGACTCGGAATGGGAAAGTGGGTTAAGTTGGGAAAAGCGATTTTTCAAAAGAGATATAAAATTTTTTTTCCTGGATATAAGATCTTTTCTTCCATTTTCCTCTCTCTCTCTCTTTCTCTTTTGATTCTTTTATGCTCGGTTCCGATGTTCTTTCGCGAGAGATGAACTTTTTTACGAGAATTTTTTTTTGATCTTGAATGATCGTCTTGACTTAGCTCTCTGCTGATTCATTGGATTAAAGTTTTTAATTCTACTTATACCGTTACGATTTCATCTTCCCACATTTGCAAATTCATGAACTCGATAACAGTGTCTCTTTTTTCACTTTCTTTTCTGTCTTCTTATAACATTATATTTCGTTAAAGATATCATTAACTTTGTAACATCTCTTTTTAATATCTGATTCGAAAGATTTTTTTTTTATGCTTTTATGCGAAAAGTTTGGGCCTTTAAATTTTATTTTTCGATTCTAATGTTGCCTTTAAAAATCTAGCTTTTATTCCGTTTGAAAATATAATAAATGATAATTCCCTCAAATTCCAAACAAAATACGATCTATCATATGTACTCAGCTACACAAAATTTTAAACAAACAAGTTCGCATCGTAGCCTTCCTCTTCTCAAACACGAAGATCCGAGTAATACCGAGTGCTCACGTGTTTCCAGTAAAATCACTGATCACGTTATATCACAAACATTGAACGATCGATTTAGACGGAATTATGCGTGATTATTATCAAATTCATACGTTCATACAATATGCAAATACATGTGTTTTTCAAGTTTCCACAAACACGAGGCCTAACGTGTCATCACGATAAACAATAGAGCAAGAAGATAAGAAAAAAGCTTTTAACCAGTGACTTACCGCCACTAGTCCCTTCCACTTACCTATCCCTCCCTTCTCACGTTTCGAGGAAGATAGTCAGACGAGTCGATGCTCGTCGCTCTATCGCCGCGAATACCTCCATCTCTCTCCATGTGCCGAACATAATAACGTGAAGTGGTTTACGGATTGCGTTCAGTCACAGTACGCGCCGTCTTCCGATCGCATCGATCTCCCATCGTACATATATATATATATATACACATATATGTATATACACACCCGGTGAAAATAAACACGCATCGAAACTTCGAAGCGTTGGAAAAAGAAAAATCTAACGTCTCTCGTAACGTCGCGACCATCGTTCGCCAACAGGGACGCACAAAACGCGCGCTCGAAATACGAATCGAGGCACGCGTGCGAAAGCAATCGCGAACGTCTGTCTATTTGCACAGAGACCGAAAGGATAGAAAGTAGCGAAACGCGACATCTGTAAACATAGATCGACTAACCTCTTACTCGTGGTCGTTCCGCGGTTAGATTCAAACACGAGGCCGTTAAGGATAAACGAGTACCACGTCGGTAACATCGTTACGCTCTTGTTTTCCGAAAGCAGACAGTACTCGAGGGTGAAGGAAGAGACGGAATCCCAAGAGAGCCCGGGATGACGATCAAACCGTCGTCCATGGTGACCGACTATCTGGTCTTCGTCGGTTGCATCGTTGCCTCGTTCGTGATACCGTTATGGGGGAAGTTTCGCGGCAGGCGGAAGGAGACGACCAAGGCCGATTACGTGTTCGCAACGGGTACCGTATCTATGGGCGCCATGATGCTGTCAATCGCGCGTGGCACGCTTGGCGTCAGATCCTTTCTAGGTTATCCGTCGGAGCTGTACTATAGAGGGAGCGCCATGTGGGAGGTCATCTACGGTATGATGCTCGCGTATCCCATCGTGTGCTTCATCTTCGTCCCGGTTTACTACAGCCTCGGGATCACGTCCGTCTATCAGTATCTAGATATGAGGTAATTATCTACGAGAGTCGTGTTTCCATCGGACCCGCGATCATCATTTCGCGGGAATAACGTTGAGAATAACGCTCGCGCGGGAATTGGATCCGCATCCTTGAAAATTCGCTC